CCCCTTCTCAGCCCTCCTTCGTCTTTCCCCACTCTTACTCTCCCTTCTTTATCTCTCTACTTTCACCTTTCACCCGTCTCTCGTCCCCGCCCATGCATCCACCGCCTCACCTCACCCCACCCCACCCCCACCCATCTCGTCTCCCCCAAACCCCAACCCACCCCCACCCCACACCACACCCTCACACTCAACCCCACCCCACCTTCAGGCCCACCCCACCCCACCCCACGCCGCCGCCCCGCCCCGCCCCGCCGCCGCGTGGTAAACCCTTCGTGCAGTGCGTTGCTCCTCCCCGCTTCCCTCTCGCCTCTGGAACTGGCGGGGCGTTTGGGAAAATACGCGTTTTTAAATAGCTCTGGTCGGGTCTACGCCCAGTGGCTTCGGAAGGTAGCAGTTCATTAAAGACTGTACTTCTGTTGAGAGCGTGATACACGCCTTCCTGGTAATTTAAAACCTGGGTGCATCGAGTCAGTAGAGTCTAGGCTGCAATAGGATATACTCTTGATAGAGTGGGCAGGCCGTACAAGGGTGGGAGGCCGCTGCGATGCTTTCCATGGCTTGCACGCGCTTCAGGACTTCCTGGTGCACAGAATAATCAAATAAATTCCTGGGACTGACTGCAGAAAGTAAGAAAGACGAAGGCCAGATTCCGTTATAAAATCGATTTTGCCTATATTCTTATTTAATACAAGAGAATCCAGTATTCCTAGCTCTAATGAATTTTTACTGTCACTTCAATGGTTTGTGCGATACAGTTAAAACCTTTCTCCAGGAAATTGCTGGGATCAGCATGACGTACTGAAGTAAATCAGTAATAACATGTACTGTAACTGTAATCTAATGTTGCAAGGAAATGTGCATCGGTTTCATCATTAACAATAGGTCATTCCGTAATCCTCTCTCTTTCATTGATAAACTTTTTACGACGCGACTCCATGAAAGTATTATTTATAATATAAATATACGGAGACAATTCACGCCTTTTGTGAATCGTGCAGTGAAGAGAAAACGTGTCATAGATATCATTGTGTCATAGATGCAAAAATATTCAAATTTTAGGGCCGTGACAAATTGAACGTGTTAATTATATTACTAAATTTGTTTTCCTTAGATTCATGTTGTGGAAGCAAGTTAATGTGAAAGGTAAATCATTAATACCTTTTGCGATTGTAATAATGCCAAATGTAGTTACCTTTTGTTAATATTAACGAAAAAATTGTTTTAAACAAATATATTTGTTAAATAAAATTCTCTTTACGTAAACGTCTGTGCTAGATATTGAAAATAATAAAGTTGCACGATTGTATTGGAAGGAAAACTAGTTGTGCTACAATAGTACATTCTTCTTGCAATATGTGTGCCTTTTGCAATTTTCGAAAATTCGGAGTTCAACGAAAGTCGGAGCTGTGCCATTTTTATAAATGTACTTCGCACTATCTAAGAAAAATATTAAAGAAAATATTTCGAACCGTATTTGATAAAATAATGTGTTTAAAATTGCCTTATTTCACGGAAAAATACATGAAAACTCCTCATATTTTGAAAAAATACACGACCTTAATTTAAAGGCACAGTTTTTAAAAGCAGATTTCATTGTGAATCAAAATTTGTGCCTTCAATATTGTAAATGCAGGAAGACACCGCAAAAATGTTAACCTTTATGTACCAAGTGTATTTTGCTGCATCTTCGGAGGAGGGTGGGGAATAAAAAAAAGAAAGAATTATGGGGTCATTCGTGATAAAAATTTAAAAATGACCTTGAGGCTTCATTCAAATTACCAGTGAAAATAACTATTTGAAATCCAAGGGCCCGTCACATCAGTCAGATAGATCGGCGTATAACAATTTTGGTGGAAATGCCTACAGTTTAATCGCTAGTGTGTTCACAGTAAGCAGATTTGTTCTGTATCAAGAGCCCACACTACATGTTTCTACTACTCACTACATGTTTTATTGGAAATTGTTTTCTACGTATAGAAACAAAAATAATCCAAATTTTCAGTATCAGTCTCATGAAACGAGCTTTTCTGTCCAAAAATCCAGAAATCGCAGTTTTTCAGCAGCATTACCATACTTTTCTACATTAAGAAAGTAGCTTGTGAGAAAGTAAAATGAGTTAAAGAGTTCCTGGAGTCGATGCACAAGCTTTCCAAGGTTGAGTCAGACAGTTGGCACGTGGTGAGGAAGTTGGCTGGCAGAACAGGCTGGGGAGACAATTCACGTCCTCCGAGATTATTGTAAACATCTGTAGATACACAGTATCATAGGTGCAAAAATATTGAAATTACTGGTCTGTGGAAGAGTAAATTAAACGCCAACATACTCTTAGAGAATGTGATTATTATATTCAGTAGTATGTCTCCAATAAATCTTGTTGCTGTTTCGTGATCCCAGTGGGGAGCAACAAGTTTGAAAGGATATATTTTAATGATTTCTGTCCAAATAGAATTACGTTATTATTGTTATTATTATTGTTGTTTTAGTCGCGAATTGGCCGTCTCCAACCACGCGAACCTGCACTTACCGAATGGCAGTATCATTTAACCCGTAGCAATTGTATGTGACTCGTTTATGGGGGGGGGTGAACATTGAGCTGATTCCGATTTATATCACCCAGTTGCTAGTCCTGGGAGGGTGGAAGGTGTAATGATGACGATAATGAAGGATGGATGGATGACACACATACATACACAAACACACCCATGCCCAAGGCGGGACTCGAACCCGCGATCCCTCCGTCCTAGATCGCCAGAACACTACTGCACCGGGCTATCGGGACCGGCGCTATTATTATTACAAGCTTAGTAGAAGTAACAGTAACTTGCTGAATGTCACTGCACAAGGCTGATTATAAATCCCGAAGACATCGGACTCCCGAAGACGTATTATAGACCAAACTCCTTCGGCAATCTTCCTAAAGATTTATTTTCTAATTATACACCAATAATAATCTTAACCAACAATTTCTTTTTTCTCAAACTAAATGAAAAACTTGTTTCTCTCAGGAATTAAATAATCAGAAGAAAATAAATTGTTCAAACATTTGTTTTTGTTTGATAAAATATACCATTTTTAATTTTTCTCCCAAGGGTAAAATGCATTTATTTTTGCATATTTATATGTTCGGCGATTACGCTTTGTAGTCTGGTATATTTGTAGAATAATATAGAAGTACGAGAGTTACTCATCCAGTTGTCCCAGGCGGAAAGCAGCTTCTTGGACATGATTCGATTCGATTCGTCACCAAGCACGAGAAGAATTTCCTGAAGGCACATATAGAAGGAGAGCAGCCCGGCTCCAGCCCCGTGCCCAGGGCCCCGCCCGGTGCCTCGCTGCGCGCTCTTCCTCGCGTCCCGCCGCCGCCGGCGCCGCCGCCCCGCCCAGGCTCCGCTCATTAGCGCGTCGTCGTCGTCCGAGCGGGATGAGTCATTCGAGAGATCCCGTGTGCAAGTGATCTCGGAAGCGAGGCCCTACCTGCGTTATGGAACTAATTTTACCAATCTGAAAGATTGTGCGTCTTACGGTTCTTCCTAATAGTTCAGGTCTCTTTCCTCAGCCTCAATTAAGAATTGATTTCATTACAGAATGTGAGAGAGAGGGAGGGAACAGCTAAATAAGGGCATATTTGTCGTAACAATAGTCAGTCTCGTGTGGCTAAGAATATATTTCGATAAATGATTCTAAAAGTTCATTTCTTTGGAAAACACGTGATCTGAGTAATATTTTGATCAATAATAATCCATTAGTAAAAACCTGATCATCTTAATTTCAAACCACGTAAAAGGTAGAACAGCATGCTTATGTATGCTTGGATTTTTCTATAGAGGCCTATGCAGTTAGGTCATTGTTAAACCTCCTGCCTTATAAAATGAATATTTTTAATTAGTTCGCGAACATCCTTCTCAACGGGGCTCTGCCCTCAGACATGTGCTTACCACTGTTATAAAGATAAATTTTATAAGGCAGGTGGTGTAATAATGACCTAATGCCATCGGTCAGTATAGGAAAATCTGAGTGTAGTGCAGGTGTGGAGGAAGAATCGCCGAGTTCGTGAGCAGCGGTGCCTGGTGGCGCCTTCGCTTCTCCGGCTCCGTGCAGGCGGGGGGCGCTGAGTCGGTGGGCGTTGCGTGTTGCAGGAGGCGGAGCGCGCCATGGGGCGGCGGGCGCCGCGCCGCCTCAGTCCCAGCTCCACCAGCCGCAGCCGCCCGCGCGCCACCGCCCT